CACTAAAATGCCAGTTTTCTGATACTTTAATAAACATATAGAACAGTATGTTAGTCATTTACATTACAACTGCTGCCAGAAACATTGTACTTTAAAAACACAGTAAAGTACTGAGATTAGCCTGATGCTAATGAGAGGGCTGAGAAGTAAAATGGAGCATGAAATAAAACTGCATGCATCTGTACACCACAACAAAGAGAAAATAATGTTCCAATCAGATGTAAGAACAGCTAGCAGAATAACAAAAAGTTGTTAACAGTAAAAGAATGTATGAGTCAATAATCACCACTTCACTTATTACAAAATGTTTTTATGCACAAGACTTTAAATATAAACTTCTGAACTCACAGTAGCTTCCTTACCCAGTCCCACTGTGTGGACAGTTGTATCAATACACATTAATTATCAACACCAGGACAAGCAGAAGCTGCAGTTTGCCTGGGAAGACTTGCTAGTACTCTTTTCATAGTTTAAGGATGTTTAGAAGCAGGTTTACAGACCAAGGCTGGTGAATTTGTTTTAGATTATGAAAAATCCATGCTTTGGGGCCTTGTTCAGCAGGATCTCATTTTCCTGGAGATGTAAGAGTGTAGGAGTTCTGATTTTCCTTTTGCTTTTCTTTGAAAAACACTATATATTTGGATAGCTCCATTTGAGTTTACTTAGTTCAACTCAAAAACTCAGCTTCAGTCACTCAAAACTCTTTAGCTCTCCTAGATTTCCTTAGATCAGTATGTACAAAGTATGTCCAATGTCAGTAGTAGTTAAGTAAATGTTAGACTATGAGCTCCACAAGAGCAGGAATGTTTGCCTACTTTGGTTGTTGATTTATCCCTAAATGCCTGAAAAAATGTATGTGCTTGGAGAATAAAGTCCAGTTTTGCAAATCCCCTATAAAAGCCATATTAATGGTTGAAGCGATGACTAGCCCCATTCCAGAAATGCTTCTCTCTTAATTGGGGGTTGGGCAGTGGAAAGAATTTCTATCATTTCCAGGCATTCTTGTATTATATTTTCCTATTAAACCAATTTTTTTTAACTTTTAAATAATGTTCTGAGACTCAGGTACTTGTAATTAAGTAAATGCTCAGATGAAAATCGTATTACTCTTAAATCAATGTCTAAGAAATTATCATCTGAAATAGAACACCTTGACAACTTGAACATCGACCAGACTATAATCGTCCAATTATTGCAAGACCCCGACAACCAAATGAAAACAGGGTGCTAAACAGCTCAGACCAACTGTCTGTTCTTACCACTTCTGCAGCTTGTTTTAGAGATTTTGAAATTCTGCCATCTCTCCTTGAACAGCAGAAACCAACTGTTCTAAGAAATAGTCTCATCGTACAACACAGAAGTCAAATGTGTATTCTAGGGTTCAGAACAATGTTCTTTTCTAAGACATGCAATAGTTCTGAGAAACAGATGGAATGCACAAACATCTATAATGGCAGTACTGTTTTTTGTTTGTTTTCTGTAAGTTCTATATTGATTCCTGTGAATACCTCAGTCTGGTCACTCCTCAGAGCCAAAGTGAAGTCACTATTAACATTACTCCCAGAGAAATGCAAGTAAAAGAAAAGACCCTTTCCTGAATTATCTAGGAAAACTATTTGTTCAGCTACATTTTAATAAAGTATTCACCATACTGATGGTTTTATGATATACACTCTAAGTAATAAGGAGCTGTTTTAAAATAGACCAATTATTCCCAAATCAATGATTTAATATTGTACCTATAAAATAGTTCACCTACATTATTGAAATATAAAAATCTAAAACTCCAGTTTGTTCATGAGGTTAAACAATCCATAAGTATGAATTCAGTGCTTATACCCTGAAAATATTGAATATATGCTATAGCTGAAATGCAAATGATCTCCCAAATTTATATTTATGTAATTAATTTATATAATTATTTTGTTAAAAAAGGAATTCTTAGGTGTGTAACTGATGGTCAGTTTTCTAATTTTTGTATCTCAGTGGTAGAGCAACGGCCTAACATGAGCAAGGCCCTGGGTTTAATCCCCAACACTAATAAATAGATGATAGATAGATAATGATGATAGATGGATAGATAGATAGATGATAGATAAGATAGACAGAATTCTGGAAAGAAAAAACCAATCACAGCCCATCTTAGGAGTAAAGTCACTTGAAATTCAGGTTAAACTAAAAAGAAACATTTAAAATATGTAAATATTGTGGCTAGCTATATTTTAATTTTAATAATAGATTTATGTTCATTTAGGTGAGATTAATGGATTAAAATAAGCAATAGTTTTTAAAATTCTACATTTTTATGAAGCACAAAAGATTCATTCTTTAAGAATATATGAATAGTCTTCTTTCAAGCCTTGGGACTAGCAACTATATTTCCCCATCTGCATTTCATTACCTAAGATTGACCCAAAGATAACCTTGCTATCCTCAAATCTTTCCTTTTGTCTACATCTTATTGGGTAAAAAGTAGGAAGGAAATAGGTGACTCAAGGTAATAATACCCTATATTTAGTCTTCAATTATTCATCTTGCATCTTCTCTTCAGTTAAGAGGCCTAAAGAAGATCTACTGCCAAACAAGACCTGCCCAGGTACAAGTGAAGGTAATGGTCTGACTGCCCAGAGCAAGTCTCTTCCATAGTAGTTAGTTGGACATCACCAAGGTTATTTTAGAATCACATTTTCTTTCTTTTAGCCTTTCTTGTGATGCTTGAATACATCCAAGCACCACTTTAATATTACTTTGTAACTCAAACTTGTATTTTGGATGGTGTTTTAATCTAATTTATTTTTACCGTTACTTTGACTTAAAGTCAGTATTTGATACTGGCTACATTAGACATCGTGAGTTTTAACTAAGCTGGTGCTTAAGATAATAAGCCAACCCCTGAAGACAAATGTGGAGAGTCAACTTCTTGGGAAACTGGACTGTAATTATAATCCAAATTGAACCATAATTACCTTCAAGTTTTATTTCTATCTAAAAGTCATAATTTTATTTGTTACAGTATTATGCTTTCATAAAGATGAATAGTTCTATAATACCACAAACTATATCTCCTTACCAAATGATCAGGGCAAATACAAGTACTCCCTGATTTAAGTAGCTGATATGTAGAGCCTGGTCTTCTCTCTGATTTCTGTTTATGCTAACAAGAGAGGAGCCGCTGTCATTTTCAGGAATTTGGGGGGGGGGCGCATGCATCATTTAATGCAAATTGAAAAGGAGGCTGTGATTCACTATAAAAAGATATTTTTCAGTCGATGATTATTTTTGTTCTAAAGTTTTGAAATTAAGCCCTCAAATTCGCTAGGCAGGTGCTCTACCACTTTTGTCACACCCCCAGCCATTTATCCTTTAGGGTTTTTTTCAGGTAAATTCTCAATTTTTAAAAAATTTTCTTTGGTTTTGGGGGTATTTTGTTGTTGTTGTTGTTTTCATTTCCCTTCCCCCTCCCAACCTGGATGGCAATCTTTCTTTTTGTACTTTCTGCAAAGCTGGGGTGACAGGAAATTGGGTTTTCTTGTTGAGATGGGAGTCCAATTAATTTTAGCCGAGACTGGCATGGGACCAGGCTCTCCACCTAGTGAAGAGCTGGGATTACAGGTGTGAGCCACCACACTCAGCTCAAGTCAATGATTCTTAAAAGGTAACTGTCAAATAGAGAATTAATATGGAACTCCATGCACTCAAAGACACATGTATTTGCTTAAGTTGTTCAAATGTGATTGCTTTAGAGGTAGTTCCAAAGTCTGTTTAGTGTACAGCCTTCTTAATCGCCTGAGAAGGAGAGGCAAATGGAGTCTATAACTCTTTTGTAAATTTCAGTTGCAGTGACTCAAGTTGGTACAAGTAGGGTAATTATAACACTGCAGTAAGACATAGTATTTCCTTCACAAATACAAAATGTACCTAAGTATTAAAAAGACAATTTATTAAAATCAAATAAGCAGATGTAACACTGTATCTGTTTAGAAAAATAAGTCTAATTTATTTTTAATAATTTGGTCAAAGCCACTGAATTTCCCAAACTTCTCATTAAAACAAAGTTAATTGAATCACTTATGATTACTAGAGTAGATTTAGATTATTCCAAATGCAGTTTCACAACCCTCCACTTTCTGTTCCATCCTAAATATTGCTGTTAGATTGAGCATGGATCACCTAATTTTAGAAATGGCTTAGTTCAAACTCTTATTTTACAGGTCAGAAATGTGAGTCATGTGGAAGGGAAAGTAACTGCCCATGCACAAGTTATGACAAAGCCTGAATTAGAACGCAGTCCTCCGAAGGAATGTATACTCCCATCAGTCTTTAGTACAGAGCCACATTTTTCTATTGTTTGCAAAGACATACCTCACTCTTTAACTCAGCATTTGATTGCTACCTTTTTTTTCTAAATCTTGTTTCTAACTTTATCTTTCTCTTCTTATACAACTCTTCTATCGAAATGCCCGTGGACACTCTCAAGATTTTCTCCTTTACTTGAAAAGCTTCTCTCCCTATTAAACTCTACAGAGGCAGGTCTTGCCTGTATGTCTTGTTCTACGTGAAGACTTTGCTGATTTTAACTGAAACTTTCTATTAGTAGAAAACCACTTTTGTAGCTTTTTCTGATTTCCTTCCTCTTTCACTGATTGGTGGATGTTGTAACTCTCATCTGTAAAGTTGATGTTATTTGTTGGCAAGACCTGTATCAGATTCACCTTCATAATCTCAACATTTGGCACAGTATTTCATTCCTAATAGGTTCTTGGTGTATACTAAATGAAGAGATGATTAAACTTGTAATGAGTCTCTTTCACTAATATTGTCAAAAATTAAACTCAAAAACATTTTACTCTAAGTTTGGTGTTTCCACTACTTTTGATAAAATAGATTGTCCATTGTATAAATGTTTTCTTAATGCAAAGTAAATGTTATGCCCAAATCACTCCTAAATTGTTAGTAACAGATGTTTTTAATTTTTTAAAATTTATTTTATAGGTGCAATAATGAAGAGATTTCTTCTAGTTGTGAATATTTTAGCATTAACCCTGACTTTTTTGGTGAGTTAATTTCATATAACCAATTGGTAGTAAGACTTTAATAAAATTTTATTTAAGAGCTCCAATTATGGAAATTTCTAGTTACAGTTATACTTCATAGAACAAAATAGCTGCATACTAATTTTGTATTCCATTTCTATTTAAAATTAAAATAATAGTCTTCTCAATATTCATTTAATTAACATAAGTAAGAAATCACACTTCATTATTACAGAAAATATTTCAAATTCCTATGATACAGAAAAAATACATTCTGGGGAAAATAATATTTTAAATGTTTTGAAGTTATAAAATGCTTTAAATATAATTCATGAATAATAAATGAAGAAATCACACTCCAGGATCAGAAATTCTTTAATTAAATTCCAATCTCTCTCATATTCCAATCTCTTTAAAGATTCAATTTCTTATTTCTCATCACTTCTTTTTCTGTAACTCCCCAGGCTGCAGATGTACAATACCAGGAACCAACAGTAAGTTTATATTAATTATCTTTGTTAGATAAGAACTCCAAAGTGTAATGTCTACAAAGGCCAATCATATTAAAATGCCTCCTCCTATCTGAAAACTAAATAATTGATATTTTCAACCTATTTTGAAGACCTTCAAATTCTGTCATTCGTAGTCTAATCATTACATTGTCCTTTGTTACACTCTTCCTCATTATGTCACTAGCTGACTCCTTTTCACCAATCCAAGTCCATGAATACTTCTAAGACTAGTAGGCACTGTCTGGAATTACATGCTATGTTAAAGGTGGTCCAAGAAAAAGGTTCTGGTTTTTTGCTTTTAATTGTGCTTTCTTTCTTTCTTTCTTTTACTTGTTTTCATTGCTGTTTGGCTACTGTTGGGTTCATTCAGGGATTCCAGGAACTGTATTTGCCAACAGCAAGAACAAGAAACAAGCATAGATAATAGCATATGTCTTCCTGCTCAGATTGTAAAATATCAGAGAGCAGTAACTCATGTTTCACTTATTTTAAAATTTAGACATGGTTTAAATCTATTAGGTAAATTCTTAAAGTTAAAATTCCTCTTAAAAATTACTATGACTTTTGCATTTCTTTTCTTTCATTTATTTTTTGAAATTAGATTTTACCATGGCCACCTGCATGTTAAGAACTTGGGTTTTCTCTTTGAGAAGTAAGCGTTCAAGTTTAAACCATAAAAAGTCATGAGTCCCCGCTATAGTGACCTTCTTCTTGAGCTATCTAAGCCTACTTTATGCCCAAATTCTTCTTCCCATTTTCACAAAGGCTTCAAGACACAGGGACATGAATGAATAATTCAAAAGAAAAGTTAAAGTTTATAGATTTTACTATTTAATCCTATAAACTGTCAAAATTACACAGATTAATTTTGTGTAAGATGTGTCACCATTGCAACATGATCTTTTATGTGTTACATCCCCTTCCCCAAAATATACATACTGAATATAATATTTAATGTCTTTAATATAAAATAATTTTCAAGCCAAGCCAGAAAATGAAAAATGATGAATTAATTTAATTTAAAATTTAAAGGACTGCTTTGCTTTTTTATTTGACTTCTGAATTCTCATTATTTCCTTTTCTGTAACTCCTCAGACACCAGAGGTGCAAAATCAGGCACAACTATCAGTAAGTTTATTTTAATTATTTCTCTTGGAAACATGAACTCCAAATATAACAATCTGTCAAAAGCAATAATATTAACATGATTTCTATCTAAAAACTAAATAGATATTTGATCTCCATGAAATAATCTAATAATATTTAAAAATAATAACTATCATTTCAGCAACAGGTAATAGAATCAACCTCATTGTTGATTCTACAATCAAAGTCATTTCCTTGTATAGCCAAGCTCTGTTGTGTCTGGTTTTCATGTATATTTAGCAATATGAGAGAGCTCTCTTAGTATTTTATATTGGGGGAAAGGGAACAAAAGTAAAGTCTAATATTCTCTCCTATATATGTTTTAAGTATTGGTTTGGGAAAACCCTTTCTCTGACCCATCATTTAATAGCTCTCATATACTTATATTTATGGCTCCAAAATATGTTTGAATGAGTACATTTAAATATGTTTCCTTTCATGAGAAATGTTTGCTGATTCTTTTGTATTGATACGGAAGGGTCTATTGTTATTATTTTTATGGATTCACATAATTGGTAGCACAGAGGCAAATAAAAATAGAAATTTCCTTTCCTGTTTTTTTGTGGAGAAAATTAAACTTACAAAATCAAAGTCTAAATTCAGAAATCCTTCCACATTTGACTATTCTCCATAATTAGTTCAGAGAAAATAAAACTTGCCATCCCTCAGGTCAATCTCTAGATAAATAAAACTTGTGAGCAATTACATATATGCGATGAGAATATGTCCATATGTATGTGTGTGTTGTGTGTGTTTTCATATCATATGTCATAATTTGGTATGAAATGTTTCTGTGTTGTGCTTATAACATCCAGCATATACTTAATACTTTCCATATATGCCAAGGTCTAGTCAATGTGTTTTATATTATGGATAACCTCATCTAATTTCTTTGAAACAAATATTTAATATTATTGAAAATATAGTTTCCTAATATGAATCATAAATTGAAAGGGAAATATGTGTCCATATCTTGTAGAATAATATTGTATTTACTCAAAATCAAATACTATATTATTTCAAAAATTACTAATTCAAGGTGTCTTTGCAAATTGGTCTATAATAATACCTTTCTACATAATTTACTCTTTTGCAGTGCCATAAAAATGATGAAAGATTATCTGATCAGAAAAGAACCCAACAAATCCCAATTCATTATGTGCTGAATAACAATCCTCTTTATCAACCCAATTACTATCAACATAGACAACCTGTATCAATTAACAATCCATACATGCCTTACCCCTATTATGTAATTAGCAATCCATATATGTCATACCCATATTATTCAAGGCTACTGGTATTTGGCCCACATGCCCAAATCTCCAAATGGCAAATACTGCCAAATATCCCCCAGTCTGCCATGATACATCGCCCATATCCACGCCCATCATTTATTGCCACTCCTCCAAAGAAAATTCAAAATGAGACTGACATTCCTATCATCAATACCATTGCTACTGTTGAGCCTACACCAGTTCCGACCACTGTGCCAGCAGTGAGCACCGTCATCATTCCAGAAGCTTCCTCGCAGTTCGCCAACGCCCCTGAGACTACCACAGTCCCAGTTACTCCAACTGTGGTATAAAAATACTAAGGAAACATCAAAGAAGACAGTAGAGGTAAATGAACAAAAGATAAAAATGAACAATCCAGACAAGAACCGGGGGCTAATCAATACAATCATAAATTCTAAAATAGTACAAATGGATATGTTATGGAAACAGGCAAAAATTGACTCATAATTTTAATTTGGAATAACCATATACTGATCAATTAGATTCCTTTTCAAAAAGAAATGAAAAATAATCCTATTTTACAAAGTGAAGAAAATTGGGAATTTTATCAAACTTTTCTCTGACAGTTGGAAAACTCCTAGTATCTGTTATTTTTACTTCATCCCTATTCATGCATAAAGTATAATGGTAAAGTAAGATAGTAGATAACACTCTCATGATGGTTCTATCTCAAAAATGAATTTCTTAGATGAATACACAATATGAGTGTATATGCATTTTAATTCTATAACAATGTTCTTGTACTCTAATTTTGGTATGAACAGGGTGAAAGGAAATGATATATTCCCCATGCATTCTTTTATTTCAGACATCATTCCTGGAAGGACTCATGAAATCAAGCATCACAAATTTCTCCTAAGATAAACCCATGGAAGACTTATAATGCCTGACTTAAAAAAAAAAGCATAAATGTTAAAAGGATATTTTCAGAATATTAAACGTAATGCAAAATGTCACTATTTATTATTTTAATCAATAGGATAGTGGTAGGGCCTAAAATAATCTGAAACTTTGGGGAAGGTAATTAACTCCCTAAAATTTAAAGAGAAAACTTAAGAAATTAGAAATTTTCACAAAGAACCTGAAATACTTTGCAGAGAAAGTTACAAAATTTGTGTTTCTTATAATCCATCAAATTGGCTACATGTATTATGATCTAAAATACCACATACAGTCTGTGATCTTACGGGACTAGCATAGACCACAGAAGGCTTCCTCATCCACCTTCTTTATTCTTTCTTCCTATTTTTTTTTTCTCTACTGGGGTTTGAGCTCAGGGCCTTGAACTTGCTAGACTGGCACTCTACACTTGAGCCATGCCCTTTCTGCTTTAGCTATTTTTCAAGTAGGGCCTCAAGTTATGCCTGGGCCAGCCTGGTCCTGATCCTCCTATTTACACCTCCAGTATAGCTGGAATGACAGGCACGTGCCACCATGTCCACTATTTTATTGGTTGAGGTTGGGGGGGGTCTCTGCAACTTTTTGCCTGGCCTGGCCTCAATATCCACCTCCTGAGTAGCTGGGATTACAGCTATAGGTCACTGTACCCAGCCTCTTATATATTTTTGTCTAATAACCTTAGGCTTGTCATCACTCTCTGAACTTTCATTTTTTTATAATTTTGGTTACTATTGGCCTCAAATAGGAATGCATATATAGAAGAATTTTAGAATCTAATCAATCTGCAAAATACAACATGTCAGTAAAGTTAATACTAAAATGTGTTTTTAACCAATTCTCTGAGTCTGTACTAAATAATAATAAGATTTCATAATTATGTTGGTTGGTACTTATCACAACAATATGGGGCAGACTTTATTTTTACCTCAAATTTAAGAATGAAAAAAAAATCACAGGACTAAGGATGTTAAGTAAACTATCACAGGTAGAAAGTACAAAATGGGAGCCAAACCAAATGTGTTTAATTTCAGATAATGGAACTAGTTTACTGTGTGATCTATTTCCATGTGGACTGATTTGCTGAAAAATGAAGATTTACTTGACTGCCATACATATTAATTGTTTAGTTGTTATTTAGTAGCATATCTGTTAAGAATTGGATAATGATCTAGATAAATAGTTGACATAAAAATTATTAGAAAATAAGATAGTAAATGAAAACAAATTTCATATGTACTTACATATTTATCCAAAATTATTATTATGTGATTGTTTTAATAGAGCATTATTCAATAATATGTTTGTTCAAAGCTCATGAGTCTACATTCCTAGATTACAACTACTATATAGCTCTTATAAAGAAGCAAGGAAAAGGCAATGTCTTTGTGTAAATATTAGGTGAAGTCTACTATTTTCTGCTTGTTTTATGACAGTATTAAGTATCTGAAATAAAACATTTAATTGAATAAAATCCTTGGATACAGACATAAAAATGTGATCTAAATTAAAGTTTACATGTGAGAACTATTAATATACTGTGAACTAAATTCTTAAACTGACATTATTTGTTGCAGGTCTTGCTGAACTCAAATTATTACTTCAGACTCTCCTTCCACCATTTTTCTGCCTTCATTCAAGAGAAAATGTGATTTGCACAAATTCAGCTCCTGTCTCCTCTTACATTTTACACCCATGTCACATTTAATTTTTTGATTCTTGCACAATAAAGTCATGGAAAGCAACAGAATCTCTTGAGTGCGTGAAGATACCTCCAGGATACTTGAAACCTTGACATTCCAAGCAAATTCAGTGTAAATTCACACTAAAGTGAGTTCACAGTTTAACCTATGGGCAGAGATCATAGTGTCATCTGTTTCCTTAAGTGGTACATGATCTGACATTGATTAAAACCTGACTTTCTAGAGTAACACAGTGACATGTAAATTGACAAAATCACTGTAGCCAGAGAAAAATTATCCCATGATGTTCCAATCCAGAGGGCCACAAATGACTCTTGAGAATATTAAATCTAAGTGCTGAAATAAAAGTCTGGCACATTTCCAACAGCAAATTCTGGGCTTCTGGGCACAGGTAATATACAACATACCTGTTGCAAAATTATGGGAGTTGATGTAGACTCTAAACATGCATGACCAGTTTATCAGTTTCCTTCATGTTGAAAACTAGTCTCACATGCAATGTGTCCAAACACAGTTTTTGTCTAAATAGAAATCTCACACACACACACACACACACACACACACACACACACACAGAGAGAGAGAGAGAGAGAGAGAGAGAGAGAGAGAGAGAGAGAGTCCCTGTACACCTGGAAGCTTCATTTGAGTTCTTCAGGCTAAAAATTGTGGTGAACATTCAAAATCTAAGGATAGTTTTGCCTTTAAACAAATATTGTGAGGAAAATTATCAGCTCTCTTTTGTGTTTGGTCCATGTGCCAGGAAAATATAAATCACCCAGCCCTTACAAAGGTCTTACTGTTTACCCATCTCATCTGTTGTTACAACTTCAACAGATGTGCTATGAGTAGGAATGATTTATAATCTTTTGTATTAGCATATATTAATTATACAATAATTTGTTTCACTGTGATATTTCCACATGTATATAAAGTAACTTTAATAAGTTCACCACTTTATTACTTTTTCTTATTCCCACTCCCACTGACCCCTTCTTTTTATATTTGTCAGTAGGTTTCATTACGCTACTTCCATACATACATATAACATACTTTGATCATCTTCACCCACACATCACCCTCACCTTTCCCCTTCCTCCCTCCTGCTGATTCCTTCCCAAATGGCCCTCCTTTTACATTGATGTCATATTTTTAGATCCAGATTCCACATATGAGAAATATCATATGATACTGATTTAGTCTTTTACCTACCCTCTCACTCAATTGCTGGAGTCTGGGACAGGCACAGTTAGGAATGTGACATGGCTGCATCATTAATTTCTTAAACAAGTAATATGGGGAAGTGATAAAATGTATTTCATTTATTAAAAAACATGTCCCTTACTACATGCAAGGTATTATAAATTTTTGTGGAGATACAAATAATAACAAAGTTCAATAATAATCAATTGACAGTTATGTAGTGCATACTACATGAAGGTAAAACTATTTATTATATTTATTCACTTATTTATAATGTACTCATGGGCTGCATATTATTGGTGGTAGTGGTGGTGGTATAAACGAAAAAGAAAAGAAATAATTTTCCCCAACTAGAGCTGAGATAAAAACTCAAAGTCTTTTCAAAAAAATTTATTACCACAAATGAATTGTGCACAGGGGGTTATTGTGATATTTACAATATGCATATAATGAACTTTGATCAGATTCACCTGATCTATATTATTCTTTCTTAACACCCTCCTGCCTGCTCCTGCTTTTAAACAGCTTTTGGTGGACTTCACTGTGTTATGTACCCACACACACACATATAATGCACTTCTATAATAGTCACCCCTTGACACTCTCCTTTCCCCACTCCTCCCACTAGCTGGTTCCCTCATTCCCCCAAACAGTACCACTTATATAAGATAAGCTTGGCTGATCTTGCTTGACATAATGACCTCCAGTTTCATCTCTTTTTATGAAAATGACATGATTTTATTCTTTATAACTAAATAATACTCGATTGTATATACATATCACATTTTCTTCATCCAATCATTAATTTTTGGTTATCTAGGCTGGCTCCATATCTTGGTTATTATAAATAGTGCTACTATACACATGGGTGTGCAGGTATCTCAACTGTATGTTGATTTACCTTCTTTCAGACATATGCCCAAAAGTGGTATAGAGGATCATACGATAGTTCTATTTTATGTTTCTTGAGGAACCTCCATACTGGCTGCACTAATTCACATTTTCATCATCAAATTATGAAGGTTCTTTCTTTCCCCTTCATCGTCACTAGCATTTGTTGTTTGCTTTATGATCAGCCATTCTGACTCAGGTGAGATGGATTTTCAGTGTTATTTTGTCTTGTGTATCTGTTATGGTTAAAGATATTGAACATTTATCAGCCATTTGTACTCTTGGTAGGTGCAGCCATTGTGGGAAGCGTAGTGGATGTTCCTTAAAAAATTAAAAATAGAACTCCCATATTATGCAAAAAAAGTCCTCATCTTCACATACGCCCAAAGGAAATGAAATCGTCAAGTTGTAAATATACTTGTTCATCACAGCATTATTCACTGTAGCTAAGATATATAAACAAACTAAGCTCATCAAGGGTTGAATGAATAGAGAAATTGTGTGGAAAATAAATATCTGTTAATCAAGTGAGTAAGTGAATGGATAAATGGATTATTAGTGGCTGAAGTATAAATACCAATGTGATTGGATTAAGTAGC